CTTCAATAAGTCAGAGAAAGACCTACTGATTGCAATGGATGGAATTAATAACTTTAGATGGAATCCGTATTTACATAGGTAATCTTGCGCTCATGTTCAGCTTAATTAAAGTGCGGGACTGTACCACTTTGCGATTTACCTTTTTTTTTAATATCAACCCTTATTAATCCAATTTTTTGAGTAGGTCATCACTTCCAAATTTTAAGTTAAAGCTTAGTAATTTGTGTTTTTTAATCTGCTCTAACGGTTAAGTAACTCTGTCATTGAAAAGATCTCTTGAGCTATCATACGAAAATCTTCCGTCTCCAACTCATATTCAGATTAATTGGTTTCAAAAGTTCAGTTTTTAAGGTAAAATATTCTTCTTCAAATATAGCCACCCTCCTTCTCCAGAAAAAATGAGTTTATTTGGAACCAAATAAAAATTTTTATGTCTCCCCTTCCAATTTCTTCAATGCATGGATTTTGGGGGGGTGGGGTCGATTGCGGCTTCAAAGGCTTAGAGGCTCTCGAATGTGAACTTTGAATTATCTTACAATGGTTTACGATCGCATGAGAATCACAAGACCAAAAGTAAAATTACTTTTGGGTAATAATCACGAGCTCCTATAGTAAGGCCACCCAAAGTAAATCTACTTAGCCTCGATCTCATTATCTCGCGGAGACCCTTTATAAGAGGGTGTAACCTTTTGTTAATCCTCTCGGTCTGAAAGCTGACATCAAGCCGAATCTTCGATAGCTGACCCGCTTATCCTTTGAACAAGCAATCGACCCGCCTCCTCCCCAATCTTCCACCTTTTTTACTTGCTTTAGGTATTTCTTGTAGTTTAGTTGCCTTTTTCTTCTGGCCCTCACCTTTGCTAGACTTATAAATTCGTAACATTATTTCATATTTTAACATTGATAAGATGATTTTACAGATTTGAATAAAACCGGCCATTAACTTGGCCATGTTTTTAATCCCAGACCATAGTCTCGGTTTTCTTTGTTTCCTAAGTTAGGCGTCTAGCAAACAAAGCTTGGCTGTTTGCAGTAAAGGGGGGTTTATTGTTAGTGTTTCAGTAAACCGGGGAGGAGACATAAAAAGCCTTTTCTTTATACGATAATGTCCCTGTCGCCAACTAGAATCATGTTAAAATTCAACCTATGAGAAAACGTTAGGAACAACAGCGCTGACAGGGTATACTAAAGAATTGAATAAAGTTCATTTTCCAGGTAACCCTAGAACTGAACAAGAGCAAATTTGCCCCACAGTTTGACCGTGCCAATCAATTTCTGTTGATGGAAATTTAGGAAATGTCTACACTTGGTGTCTGAGAACTACGTGTAGTGCCTGGGTAGTGACAAAAAATGGTGTTTTGTTCACACCTTGGGTATACCTAAAATGTAAACTGTGTACATTATTTACTCCTTTTTGCCCTCTGTGAGACCCCATTTTGAAACGCGAGCTCGAGTAGATAGCAGTAGATTACCCCAGAACAAACAGAAACGGTGTGCCAATGTATAAGGTCTCGACCTTGTCCTCGGGCACCGACCACACGAATTAATTCGGACGTGGATACTTGATAAAAGCGTGTGTTCACATTAGTTTCCAACGAGTACCGCACTCGGGCGTTGTACCCATGCATCAAGTGTGAACACTGCCTTAGTCTCCCCAAATGTTTCAAACCTCACCAGTCCGTCTATGTGTACGTCAACAGTTAGTATGCGCATGCGTTAGTATTCAAGAGCGAAATGTTAGTTGAGTTTGTTGTTGGTTCGCTTCTCTGCTCCAAGACTGATGGGGATTTTTCAAGGTACATTCAAACCTTGTTTTATGAACACCCACTTAATTGGGACACCCCGTTAATACGGACACTTTCTAAGGCCTCATCAGTGTCCTTATTTGTGGAGTTTGAGTGTCCTTTCATTTCACTTGGCATTGCTTATTTCAAAGAAAGAAAGACATTCAGCACGCTATCTCCTGGTGATTTGAGCGAATAAAGCTGTAAATATGAGCAATTTTCGTGTATTCCGTGGGATTGTTTTAACCCCTTAAGATGGCTGGCATTTCGCTACCGGTACACTAAAGAAACGGTTACGAAGGTGTAGGGACTATACGACTACGGTTCAGTAATTTTTTTCAAATCAACCATTACAATTTTGTAGGCATTACAACACCCATAAAATCTCAGCTTTTTGTGCCAGTCACCTCACCCAGAAACAATTGCGGGTTATATTTTGATGCTAGTTCCTTTCGCATTTCTAAAGTAGCGAGTGGAAGTGATAACATTGTTGTGACACGTCTCGTTGGTAAACGTACCATAATTATAACGTTGCAGGAAAGTAACACTTTGCAACACAACTAGTTTTGCCAGTTTTATTTTTTTTCGATATATTAACTTACTAGCTAATTAACTAAAGTTATCTTCAACAAGTTCTTGAAAGGCGACGTTTCTTTTTTTGTCAAACTTACACATATATGCCAAGAAAAAAGGACGAAAAAGCATACCTTATTATAGGAAATTAACGCTCCAAGAAATTAACGCGAATCGTTAAAATTCGCGTTAATTTAAGTCGCTTTAATTTTGTTGAGCGTTAATTTCCGCGACGTTAATTAAGTGCAGCGTTAATTTCCGCGCTCTTAATTGCCAGTATTTTAATCCCAATTTTGGAACCTGTCGAGGTATTCTTGACACCTAAAAATCATTAAAGGGAACCTCCACTCTTACTACAGAATAAGTTTAAATCGAATAAAATTATGTTGATAAACAAATTTGTTCGAAATTTGTCTTAAAAAAAGTGTTTATATCAGGAAAAGTGAATTTTAAAATCGCTTATTTTCACTTTCAAATTTCGCGGGCGCCGCCATCTTGACTAATTGTGACGTGTTACGGTTGCTCTATTGTTCTGACACAAAGAGCTTTTGTTTAATAACAATAGGGCAACCATTACACGTCAGAATTATTCAAGATGGCGACGCCCGCAAAATTTGAAAACAAAAATAGGCGAATCTAAAAGTTATTTCTTTCGGATACAAACGCTTTCTTTAAAAGTATTTTAGATTGACTTGACTGTAACAGTTATTTCCTGTGATTTAAAGTAATCTTTTTGTTGAAGTGGAGGTTCCCTTTAACTACAAGCTTTCTTTCTTTCCATTTACCCTTTATTTTTCATCTTTCACAAAAGCTAAGTTAATTTCCAATACCTTAATTTCATGGATCCTTAATTTCCTATAATAAGGTATATAGATATGTACAAAAGGTGTAGGGACTATACGACTACGGTTTAGTTTTTTTTTTTTCAAATCAACCATCACAATTTTGTAGGCATTACAACACCCATAAAATCTCAGCTTTTTGTGCCAGTCACCTCACCCAGAAACAATTGCGGTTTATATTTTGATGCTAGTTCCTTTCGCATTTCTAAAGTAGCGAGTGGAAGTGATAACATTGTTGTGACACGTCTCGTTGGTAAACGTACCATAATTATAACGTTGCAGGAAAGTAACACTATGCAACACAACTAGTTTTGCCAGTTTTATTTTTTTTCGATATATTAACTTACTAGCTAATTAACTAAAGTTATCTTCAACAAGTTCTTGAAAGGCGACGTTTCTTTTTTGTCAAACTTAAACATATATGCCAAGAAAAAAAGACGAAAAAACATATATGTACAAAAGGTGTAAATATAATAAACAATTGCGGTAAAATAAATTTTTGACAACAAAGAGCCAATATAAATATCAGAAGCGAAAATCCCTATGTGGATCATTATACGTTTCTGGGAAACTGCCCACCTACCCCTCCCCTAAGCCAACGTTAACCCTATTTTATCTTTGTACAGTCTAAAACAGAGCTCTAAAATGGCAGGTAATATTTTTTTGGCCTCGGTGTTTGGAGACAGACGTTATCTACCTTTAAATCATGAACTCACCAGACGTCTCTATACATGAAATCAGTGAAAATTGTTAATAAATGCTACATGTACATGAGGGTGTGCTGAAGCAGAAACAGTTTCTGTTTTTGTCCGTAGACTCGATTATCTCTAAAAATGAAAGGTTTAAGCGTAGGTCCAGTACGACAAGATGCATTTTAGGACAACAGTATTTGATATCAAGAAACGCTTTTTAAACAGTCGAAGCCCAGAGGAAAACAACAAAGCCAGACTGGTTATCTGGATGATTTCGTTTGGTAAACAAGGACAATAACTGCCCAGGTTATTCTCTACTTTTTTGCGAAGAACTAACTCTTTTTTAATACTCTTGTTCGTACAGTTCCACATTTCTCTTCTCTTCCTTACCGTCAACAGTTGCTTAACTTTAATTTAAAGTGTAACCACGCAACAAAAACGCGCTATTTATTAAGTATTCCAATGTGAAAGTACGATAAACGATTATTTGGTTAAGAGCTGTGTGGCCTCTGGAGCTTAATGCTCCTTTCGCACGGCAACCAGTTTCTCCAGAATGCCTTTTCATGGCTCTGCCTCATCGCTGTCGCACGGTAGGACATTCCAGCCGCGAATAGCGTCACCCTGGAGGTCCATGCCTCTGTCCTTGAAAAATGTATTCTTTATACAACCCCTAAAACCAGTATTAAACTTCCCATGTGTCATTTTTGCGATATTTTCACCCCCTCCTATTGGAAATAAGAGGAAAAAACATTAAGATAATATAGGCTATAGTTCGAATTATCTCCTGTTCATATGAAAAAAAAATCTTCTACATTATTAAACATCCTGAACACTGATAAAGGAGGTAGACTTTTAGATAATACTAACGGACCATCCACACCCAGTCTGCTTGCTAGCTTAATAGATAAGAGCACTGCACCGGTATCGCAGAGGTCAGGGGTCGAATACGGGCATTCAGGCTTTCTTTTTACAACTGAGTTGTGTATTGATGATCTTGTCTGCATTTGTTTCTTCTTCCCGCAGTTCAAATATATGAAATCCAGATATTTCGGACTGCCCATTCTGATCGTAGGGATGACTGATAAGATAAGGATATACAATGCACTTACCTATAAATATGCTATGACCTTGGTTAATATTCAGCCCTTTGCTTCCCTCAGCCGAGGTGCCATTTACATGATCATGATTATCAACTTTAAGGGAACCCTCACTGAAACGCCTACAAAATTAAACGACAAACGTCACTAGTCTAATAATTAACATATCGGAGGGATGACATCACGCAGTCAGTGCTGCTTCATATTATATAGAAGCCGAAATCAATAATTGATTAACTTTTTTTTCATGGTTGACAATCGGTGGGTTTATTCTCGGGCCCTTCCTTGTTCCTCAAATGTAACGCATCTAGAATACGGAGATCTAGGAACTATTATTTCAAGATTGTAGTTGAAAAAGTTTGTTACCTGTAAACCTTGATGGAGTGCCATTGGCTGTCGTTGACGGGAGACAGAGATTGTAGTACAGCGGGCCCAGAGCCGAGTTCAAATCTAAGAAAGACGTAACTGATTTACTAACATGATTTTAAAGTATTCTCAGGGTAGGGACCGATAAATTTAGTTCCTGGTTATTTGCAGTAGCGGATCCGGGGAGGGGCCCGGGGGCCCGTTCCCTTATTTTTTTTTAATGTAGATCAGTGATCAAGGATTAATGTGTAATAAATTTAACCGAGGATGTGCTTCACTCAATTTCATAGTTAACTACTTTTAAGCAGTGTTTTTGCCCAAATTCTCCGCAAAATCATCAATATGAGAAAAAAGACGCAAAGACGCAAAGCAATACAATTTTTTAGCCTCGGTTGACGTGCGTCACTCAAAAACGCTTTTGCTTAAACTTCCTATTATTTTATCGCCCCCGGATGTTAAGTGGGTTATGTGATCCATCAGTACATTGATGTAGCGAAATATATTCTTTTAATACGTGGTGTATATTGTCTATGTTTTTTAGTGCATTACATATTTCAGAGGCGATTTTAGCGACATTCAGATGCGTCAGAGTCTCATATGCGACGAGCTCTCATTAGCCACCCCTAACTTTTGGCATTTTTGGTGGTCACGTACATGTATGGGTGTTTTTACTCTGAAAGCAAAGAATACAAAATTTTAGAAAGAGACCAGTTGTTGGGCCGTCAAGAGTCCTAAAATAATTACCTGAACTCCAGAAATCCGTCTCTTAATCCGATTGCAAAGTGGTCTCTTCTCTGGAAGGAGCAAGAAGAAAAATTTTTCATAGGGACACCTAATTGATCCAGGTGAGAACATGAGGTATCTATTTGTTGCTTGATGCCTTACAGATCAAGGGAACTGTTTGTAATGCAAGGGGCCTGTGTGTGTGAAATATACACGAACGTGTTGGCAAAGAGATACGGAAGTGTTTTGGAAAAAGGTTTTGTTCTTACAATCTTTTAATAACTAAGAAAAAGCTCAGAACTGAATGTGGCAAAGTAGATGGATGTCTTTTCTGGTCATCGGATTATCAGGCATGAGTTATAAACAATCTCTGTTGGCGGAACTCATTACAACACTCTAATTTACCTCTCCTTGCCAGAGGATTACACCATTTTGAGCTTCTGTTTTTATCGCAAGTGACATATAGTCAGGTGTTGTCGATCTGTAAAAAAAAATGGACGCATGCATGCTCAAAGCCGTAAACATTGCACTGTGGATTATAACGTATTTCGGCTATAAAATACCAGGATGGAAATAACTTGGGCGCTCATTTTCTATTATGACAGTCGTAAAACTCTCCTGATGCTGACAAATGTTATCTCAGAAGATTCGCTGAACACCAAAGAAAAAACCTCACCTCGGTCCTCGCATGGTCGATGATGGGAATTCCAAGAAACCGTCACCACTGAACAAGGCATTTTTTTCCAAACTGGACAGCTACAACGAAACAGCCAATCAGCAAGAGTCACTGGAATCGACTCAACTGTACGTTGCCTCATGCAAGCTATTTTAAAGAACTTTGCACCGAAAAGGTTAAAATAAACCCAACAGCAGAAGTTTGTAAACTAAGGTTTCTTTAGTACTTAAAATCTATTGCCAGTGTGCATGTTTTTTTTTTTTGTAGGGGTTGTCGTCAAAGAATTCTACTGCAACTATGAAAACTTACACTTATGTAGTTTAGAGAGCGTGACACCCGATAGATTTCACTGTTCTAAACGTGTGGCCTCTTAAACGTCCCCAATAAATTAGAGACAACTTTTCTGCTCGAAGTAGACTTGTGAAGAAAACCAACAACAAAGTCAATCCACTTTGTGGCGCTAGAATCGAACCCAGCCTATATCAGTGGAAGGCCTTTACTCTTACCATTTGCACCACCGGTGGTTCCCCTTCCGGTTTTAAAAGGCCACCAAGACTTCCTAAGTGTAGCCTCCTGTGTATAGTGAGAAACACTTTACCCATGCTGATGGCTCCAGCATGGGGAGGTCAGCTGTATCCGCACACAAAGACTATGTGCTTTAAGTTCCCTTACATTGAAAAGTTTATACTGCGACAACATCAGTAATTGACAGATTTAAAAATATATCCGACGCATTAGGAAGCTATTTCATGAGGCAAAACTTCTGAAAGTACTTACTTTTATTACACCTTCTGCCTCCATATCCGAGCGGGCAGTTGCATAACCTGTAACACAATAAATCAACTTTTAGGCTCAGAATTTCTGAAGCTCTCTAGGTTTGCGAACTGCTTTTATCACGTCTTAAAATTAAGTATTGTTTGTATTCTAATTATTCAAAGACTTTCCGTCTATTATAGTAAATATAGTCAACTCCCTTTATTTCGGACACCCTCCAACGAATTACTGTCCTTAATCGCGAGAGATCTTCATTTGAGGTCCGAGAAGAAATTTCTTTACAAAATATATCACTTTTATATTTAGATTGACTATAGTACCAACCGTAACGCAGAAAATATTGGACAGACTAGCCGAACTTATCAATAGCAGAGACACCGGAGGGAATTAATAGCTACACCTCATTAAAACAAGCTGCGGGTTGACTGTAGTGGAGTGCATTTTTCTTATGTTTGGGAAAATAAAAAATTAATAAATAAAAGTAACCTGTCAGATGACGATAATTCAACTCCGCCATTTACACATATGTGGCTCTTCAAAGGATCGGCCAGTGTAAACTCACACTTTTGTCCAGTATATCCAGGAGCACAGGAACAGAAAAAGCCCGTTTTTCCAACCGGGATGCAAGTGGCATTATTCAAACATGGTCTCAATTCACAAGGCAAAAGGCATTCTGTGCATTGTTTGATACCGCGCATGTCAAGATTGGACTTGAGCAGGTTTATTTCCCTACCATCTACTGATAGTTCGGATATACAACCAAAGAGACCGGAGCTAACGCCAACTTTACTAGTGTGGAATGTCGTGAAGTTTTTCACTCCGCCTATGAACAAGTCTAACAAAAGATTTAATCCACGTGAACAACACGGGGAGGAACCTTTCACTGGGGATCGTCATCCAGAACCAGCAAGCTGTCTCTCAGTTGTCTTTCTATTATTACAGTGTGCCAGAATCCTACGGAAATGTTTCTGGCGCTGCGTAAAATACCAGTACCACTTCCCATATTGAACCTGAACTCAACTCGCCCTCCGTTAATGGCAAGGGAAATGAAGTCACCGCGACCAGGGAATATCGTCTGACCATTGTACAGTAGAAGCATATTGCCTGATTTAAGTGCGAGGAATCTGATGGAGAACCTTAGCTGCAGAACTGCGCCTTCGATTCCTGGTAATGACATGTATGAGTCGCCCTCGAACATAGGAGTGTCTATTGGCCTTCCTACAGGATGAATACCGTAATAAGTTTCCTTTTTAGTACACCAAATGACATAAAAACCAAAAACACCACCAGAAGTCTAAGAGACGTTTTTTAACGAAGTACCCTTCACTTGATTTCTATCATACACCTCACCTGGGGCCGTTCAAGTGACAGAGGCGTTTTATAGCGACATTCTTCGGTCTGGTATTTCAAGTAGCAGCGACTATATAACCAGACCTTCAAGTAATTGGGGGCGCTGCTTATTCAAACCCTTCAAATAGGGGGGGCACCATCGAAAATGACCTTAAAATGAGGCCCTGGCAAGCTATCATCCCAAGCTCCCTCCTCCCTCGATCCGGCACTTTTAAAATATAAATCACTGGGCAAAAAAAATGAATTTGCACCAACATGATAATTGCAAAATATATAGCAAATTTGTGAAAACTGGAGGAGTAAATATGGGGCCAGGATGGTAAAATTTGCATGGGGGGGAAAATCCATTTTATTTTGTCCAGTGAATCAAACAATATATTACGGTCTTTCGTCCATACCAACTGATGCAAACCAGTTAAAAAGTATTTAATGTATCCTATTCAAACAGGAAAAAAATTGGAATTATACCAAAGCTCATGTTTTGACATCAGATCGTAAAGGACTCAGGGGCCTTTGGTCAACAACAAACCTTCCTCACACCTCTCCCCAGAGTAACCAGCAGGACAGATGCATCTAAAACCATCATTGCCGATATTTTCACAACGCCCCTCATTGCAAACGCCAGGTGAACACTTGTAACCAGCGTCATCACAGGTCCTTCCCGAGTAACCAGGCCTGCAAGTACAAATAAATCCCCAGTCTCCAGCGACCTCTGTGCACGTGCCGCCGTTCTTGCAAGGCCTTGTTTGACAGACTTCACAATCATCCAAACCCACGCTTTTAATAGGATCACCTGAAATTTGTTTAAAGAGGTATTCAAAGGGTTATGTCACGCTATTTTCTATTTTTAAAAAGCTATAAAGTGTCTTCGTATCAATTGAATTCCAAAAATAGTTTTCATTTTTTTTTTTTTTCACAAATCATGTAACAAATCATCATGGTTAGTGTTCCCTGATGAAATTTCTTTGAACTCTTCTTCATTATTTTACAGAAGCATTTTGTGTATGGGTAAAGACCTTCAGTAATGACATCAGCACAGAGTTGACATAAAACAATAATATCCTTGTGACAAAATCCATTTAAGTATTGTGTTTTGGCAAGAGAAGGAAGAAGATAAAATCTAATCATAAAATTAGGTAATTAAGCTACACCGAAAGGCTACAAAAAATAGCTTCCTCGTGAAACAGGCCCTATTCTCATTCAAGTTCGTCAATACTGCCCTTGACAAGCGCATACACTTCCAATAAGAGCTGGCTCCTTTAGAAGTCGAAGAAACAGAAAGAAACATGCTCATGTTCTATAGACATGACTCAATCTAGTAATGTCAATTAGACGATGGTGAATCATTTCCACTTTTGGAACGCGTTTAAAAAATTAGCGTATAGACAGTTCAAAGAGTTCAAATAAAAGGGTTAGTTTCAGAACTTTAGTGTTGCGTCGGTAAGAGAAAGAAATGGTGGTTTTGGTCCAATCAGTTGCTAAAGACAATAAACCTCCAGAACAGAAACCAAAAGCAGACTTTCAAGATGTGTTCATCAACTCAGCTGGTAAAACCGAATTGAAGAATTTGTATGAATTGTTTTCCCCTTGTCAAGAAAGCACCCTTACTCTCCCCTCGGACACTCTGTTCGTTTCTTCGACTCCTGAACAAAATTCAAATCAGGGGCACCCAATGGATCTGTTCCCCAAAATATATGTTCCTCAGGCCAAGTTTTGCTGGCTCGGAAATTTGGAAAAATTAATATGTCCTTGGAAGGAAAGTGTTGCTGGGCAATACACAATTCAGGATGTCAGAGGGGATTTGGTGTATACAATAGCTTGTATATTCTATTTGTTTATCTCTCCTTCCTCATTGAAGGGGTGAATGTCTCCCATAGGCCACTCCCAATTGCCTATGGACGTCAGGTTGCAGGTTTTAGGTGCACTTTGCTGGCTGGGAACTCTTCCATCAGTCTTACTGGGAGTGAGGAACAGATAATTTTTTCCAAGCGATCTCCCAAAATGCTTAAAATGTCTTCAGAAAGCTTTATTTATACTTTGTTGTTGTTTTTAACGTCTTTTTTTCAAATTCCCCGTTGAGTGCCTCTGTCAAATCTCCTCGAAAACTAGTTTCCAGAAATTTGAACTTTGAAAACCTTTATCCAACTACCATTCGTTTTGTTCCTACGAAAATTTCTCAAAATAATCAGAGGAGACAATACATGTACCTGTTTTTCTGTTTTTCAGGTCCCTATTTTAGATACCAACCATTTTTGTAATGGAATGTAAAAGAAACAATTATATTCTTACCAAAATTTACAACTTTTCCGTCGATAGCCAAGTAGCTTAAACAGCCAATAAATCCTGACTTGAATCCCGCCAAAGAGCTTATTGATGAGAAATCAAGGACTCCTCCCACGTGCAAATCCTGATTCAAATTCAGACCTGTACTACTCCCCTTAGAAATTCCTGTTACAGGTGGCTCCCCATCTACGGTGAGATTTCCTTCCTTCCTGTTACGTGATAAGACGACTCTGTGCCACTCATACAGGCTCAATGGTTGCCGGCTTCGAATGATTGCAGGCTCAAAGCCAAGGTTGAATCTAAATACGGATAAGTTCTCTTCAATTTTGACCTTGGTTTATATTTAATTTAGTTTGTTTCAGACTCTTTTCTTACGTTACCATACCCCCCAAAAAAGAAAAAAAATATCAACCAAGAATGAAACTGGATTATAACATGTGCATCACAGTTAGGTTAAAATCAAGACGACATGCACAGCCACTACAACGTGGATATAGCCCATTCGAAAAAAAAAAAAAAAACATCGTAATAGGAGATATCAGGAGGAGTATACTTTGTTAGACTAGGACAACGGAGCCCAGAGTATATGTGGGAAGCTTGCGCTGAAGCGGAGTCTTTTTTCTTCAATCTGTGCGCACGGAAAATGGCTACACGTTTATATTACACTTGTAATAATTGACCATAGGATTATAAGTCCAACCAACACACAATCTACAAGTAAACTACCTCATCTTATAATGGTGTGTTCGTGCTAAGTATGTTGTTACATATGACGTGATGCAGTTCTTGGAATAAGTCAATGGAATAGTCAGAGTGCATGAAGTTTAAGTTCCAAACCGGAACTTAAAGTGTTGTATTAAATGGAAGCTCCGTTTTAAGGCTTGGTTAAATGTATGCAATATGACTGCAGCCAAGATGGAATATGATAGACTTGGTTAGTAATACCATAGTTTGGTTACCTTGCTGTTTCAGGGTTTTACAGTAACAAAATAAGTTCAGGTCCTATTTTTGCATTAGTTTTCAAATGACCTCGAAAAAAGATTTGTGAGTAACCAAAGGCTTTATGGAAAAAAATAGCTTGCGAGGGCAGACTCCTGCTAGAGCTAAGCCTCACAGGACTACTGACGGGAATCAAGAAGAATGCTCTTCGTCCCTGTTTGTGAATACAACCCCATTACCTAAATTCAGCAAATCTGTCTGACATTCCAAATGAAATGAAGTCTCCAACAGAGCCATTTGTTAGCTGATCGTTGTACAGAATCAGCCCATCCGCCGTCTCCGGTATGAACACAATTTCAACCGTGAAATTAAGTGGCTCGTCTGTTAATGTCTGTACACTGAGGTAGGACAGAGGTTCCTGTGTAAATCGTGGAACGGTCACTAAGAAGAGATATAGAAAAGGTAGAGATACAAATGGTTGGTGACCATTTTTAAGTTATGGTTAGAGTAAATATCATAACAAAGGTTCCTTCTTGTCATTGACGCGAAGTGTGCTTAGCAGAAACTCCCCAAACTAACCCTCATCATGACCGCAAGAACATTCGTAGCTTTTCGCGCTGGAATTGCATCAGGAAAAATGTATGGAAGGAAAGGCACTGTAAAATTTTTGCTCCAAAATTCGTCAAAATCAAGACATGAAACAAGGAGGGAGGTTAAAGTAAAATTACTTCCAAAGAGCCGACCCTTTGATACCTTACCTTTAATTTCTAAAATTCCACTTCTATTAGCCGATCCTTCAACATTTTTGGCTTCACAATTGTAACTCCCAGCATCCTTTTGAGTCACATTGGCAATCTTCAGAACTCTTCTTTGCACTGTACTGCTGACTGGAAGCGATCCGTTAACTTTCCGCCATGTTAGGTCTGGTGACGGGGAGCCGCTAGCGATGCAAGTGAATTGCACGGTCTCACCAGTTTTCACACGTGAACTCTGTGGAGTAACCATGACCTTGGGAGCCTCTAAGAGTCAATAGAGTACAGCCTTGCCATTCGAGTTAATAACACAATGTTTAATAGTAACATCGTCAATAAAACTGCATGATCTTCGCAGATGGATATTAGTTGTAACCGTAGGGTTGGGGTGGTTGGGTGGTAGTACCAAAAAATCTAATCGGATAAGGTCATTTTGGTTTACCGCAGTAAGATTTAAAGCAGGCTTATGTTTTCACGCCTTCCTCACTTGGTCTGACACGAGGACACGCAATCGCCAGCTTTCGCTATTTTATCTTGTCTTATTATCTTGGCTTATCAACTCGGTTGACAAACCAGTGAACCATTCCTATTCCCCACAAATGTGAATGTCTTTGCAATCGACGGTCAAATATTTCAAGCGTTTTTTAGCTTTACTTGCATTAGCTTTAATTTCTTTTGCAGACCAGTAAACGTGAAAGGTAACAGCAGAAAAGAACAAACAGCAAACACCAACCTTGCACAAAGATGGCTACTTCAGATTGCACAGAGCCCACTCTGTTAGTGACTTTGCACCTATATACACCACCATAGGCAAGCCGCGCGTGCGGAAAAATCAGCTGTCCTCCTTTTGAAATGAGTCCCTCGGGCAACAGACCGTCGACGCGGGTCCATTGTATTTCTGATTGTGGGGCTCCATTCGCGATGCATTCTAAAGTCAAATTCTTTCCTACTGAAACTGTTTTGACGGAGGTTCCACCTGTTATAACCACACTGGGTAGATCTGAAAAGGATATGATTACATGGCTACTCATACGAATGATTTAATGATAGTGATAATGATAATGATTATGATACTGATACAATGACAAAAACGATAAAGATAACAATAGTAATAATTACAGCAGCAACAACAACAATAATAATAATAATGATAATGATAACAATAACAATTGGATAAACTCAAGGGTATAGCATAATATAATTACAGTAAAATGAATTGGCTCGAAATTTGAAAAAGATTTGTGGACATTAATTTTTGGTTATGATATAATTAAACACTGTACTTTTAGAATATGGGGTCGTGAACCGGACCAATGAACTTAGGCATGATAAAGGGAAATAAGCATAAAAAGGGGATGGAGATGAACAGAAAGTGACTTCTTTTTCTTCAAAGCGAAGCTCTAACAAACCTTCGACAGTGAGTTCTATAGATGTTGTAGAAGTTCCAGCAGCATTTTTTGCTGTGCAGATGTATCGACCATTATCGTCACCGATAACTCCTGTAAGACTCAAGACACCAGCTGAGTGTCGTACGGGAATGTCGCTTCCCTCTTTTGACCAGGAGATCACCGGGTCGGGTATGCCAGTCGCGTTGCAGTGAAATGTAACATTGGATTTATACGCTGCTTCAAAAGATCTAGGCCAGGCCACCACTTTCGGTGCAGCTGAGATATCAGAACGAAAGTCAGTCAAAAAGCCAGGACAAATTGAACATGGGATGAAACTGAAAATTGACTAGCGTGTTGGTTAGCATTGATTTCCCAAATATAAGTTGATAAATAATGAAGATAATCGATATGCAAAGAGCAACAAGACTCGAACGTATATTTCAAAGACACTTTCACTGCCATCACAAAAAAACATCATTTGTAGTACAATATAGAATTTATAGTACAACATAGAATGTTTCTTTCTAAATAAAAGGGAAAAATGATAAATGGGAGTCATTGAGAGAGAGAAGAAGAAGGGATGAAAGGCCTTTTTTAATTTTGTGTTTTACAATTAAAACTTTTATTACCTTAACTCTTGAGGTATGCACTTTTTTATATATACTGCGATATTTTTTTTAAATTAACGGCCCTAAAGGTTCCTACCATACACGACGACGCTTGCAAAGCCTTCACTGGAGCCCGCTGAATTGTTAGCATAACAGCGGTATGTTCCTGCATGTTTCAGTTTCGCCTCACTGACTTTTAAGGTCCCCTTGTCGCTCACGATGCCGTTTGGGAAACTAACATTGAGTTTTGACCACGTGATTGCAAGTGATGGCCTAACAATGCAAAAGATGTTAAAGGAGGTTCCTTGATTGACGGAGATCTCGGAGGGAGTCACGTCGATTAGAGGAGGCACTAGTTGAAAAAAGAAAGAAACAGGTAGGGTTCGGATTGTTTATCACTTAAATGTAGACATAGGTCAGTTCACTATTTGCGAGTTTTATGGTAAAAAAAATTCATAATTCTGCCTTGGTGAGAAGACACAATAAAAGGGGTTCGAGGCTTGGCATGACAACTTAATACAACTCACTACATTTTGTCTCCTTGATCCTTCAGATGTTGCGTTCAAGTCTATGCTCATAGGAGGAATCAAGTTTGGGGAAGAAAGGAAACACAAATTTCAGTCTTGAATATTCAACCGCATGGCTACCTTTTAAATTTGTCGTTTCTCCTAAAAGTTCCTAAAGGTGGTGTTCCATTTTTTTCATTGTTTTCGAAACCTTTGGAAAATGTTAAAAACCTCGAGTTCAAAAAACAGCATTACTTGGAATCGTTGATAGTAATAATTACGTTGAAAAGATCTAATGGGAGAGGTGTATAACAGGGTAGTAGCAGTCTAAGCTCTTTTATCTTTTGACGGACGTACGATATGCCTCAAGCGGACAGCTTCACCTACGGCCACCTTAACAAATCTTCCCATTAGGAACTTCACTACAAAAGCATGATTTGTTACCGGCCAGCTTCCAATGAATTACTTTTTTGCTTGCCGATGGTGTCTGCCTAAGGGAAATTTGACTGTAGTACAGAAACGGGTAAGACATGTGCCATTTCTTATTTAAAAAGGGCTTTTTTGAAATATCGTATAGTTTGAACTGTTACCAAGTGAAAGCGTGGGAAAGTCCCTTAGTTATTAATCAAAGCGCTTCTTCACATTAAAGCATATGAAGAAGGAACAATTTTTATGGAAGGCTCAGAAACAGGATGCCTTATTGGTCAAAGTGGTACATAAAGAAATGGCCTTTACACCTCCAGTTGACGGCATCGTTGAACTTCGCCAGGATAAAATGTGTAACTCGATTATATGCCTCTACGAAAATACACGATCACACGATCAATGGTAATTGACGTTAAAATTTGTTTTACGTTGAAATTTGTGGGAGAGGTATCTTACTGTTGAGCTACAAGAAATAAAACCTTTGAAACCTTTGAATGTCTCTAACTTGGATTCTAAATGTGATTTTTCTCAGTAATAAATTTTGATTAGCCTGGATTCGAGAAACTTTATCCTCTCTTTTCTTGGGTTCAATTTTTTTCCTTAATCGTACCTATCACTTCCAACTTGATACTAAAACTGTCCTGCCCTTCACTATTAACTGCTTTACAGGAGTACGTCCCAGCATCTTCTGCACCGACAGACGGGATCATCAGTATTCCATCTCTATCAAGGGCGTCATTGGGTAAATTAGAACCCAGTCTTTCCCAGACAATGGTCGGAGCTGGTAAGCCAGATGCATTGCACCGAACCTCCACGTCTTCTCCTTCGATGACAGTTTTTAAAACAGAATTTAAGAGGATCTCTGGTGGTTGTAGTGGAACAGTTACTAGAAGGAATCACAATAACCTCAGGTCATATTTCGTCAATGGAGAAAAACAAAACATAAATTTACTTCAACTTTTGTATCACTCATTAGTTTTGTTCTAAGCTGAATAAGTGTGAAAAAGTTTCCACACATACGCCACATGCTTAAAATATCATGTCATACAATCCTCTTTGAGAACAAGTTTGGCCTAAAATTAAAGCTTCCTTTAATTAAAGCAAGGACAATAGCAAAAGTTCCTCTAAATTAATGTAAAATGACAGACATCCTGACACAGCTTAGCATGAAAAAACTGCCGACATCTCGCCACGCCACCAATGGTTTTCCTGAATGACGTCTGATGAACGAGTGAAGAAATTTTATACTAATGACGTTTTACTACTCTGACCTGGGTAGTGATTTTTGGTTGGCACTCTCCAGATCTGGGTAGTGACACATCATTAGTATGAAATTTCTGCGCCCGTTCCTTAGACGTATTCTCCGTTGATGGCGTCTCGAAATGTCAGCTGTTTTGTCAGGCTAGACACAGACACTCCTCGACGATAAGGAATCTTTAATGTCAACATTGGATGACAAGATTTAAAAAATGAGGAAACAGTGGTTGCAATTTCGCAAGAAAACCTAAGAAAAACAAATAAAACCTTGTTATTCTATGATAACCAGTTCCGGTTCATGATATGGTGGAAAGAAAAAAGGAAATGATTTGTTTACGATCGTTTACATTTCGGATGTCTGAGAAGGACATTTAGCGAGTCCCTCAATTTCTCAGTACCTTGCTGCCATTACACTGCATAAGGAATATACCTGTTAACTGCACACTTTCCTGAGTCAATCCTACAATATTCTCTGCCTGGCAGGTAAAGTTCCCCTGGTCGTCCGGTCTGACATTTTCAATAATCAACTTCAACACCCCACGATTGGTTTCCCTTATTTGCAGATTAGACCGAGGATGCCCTTCAATAATCCATTGGACTACTGGAGGAGGGCTCCCTGCAGCTGTACATTCCAGCGTGACCGAGCTTCCACCTGTCACGGAGACTGGACTGGAAGGGTTTACTATCAACTGGGGTTCACCTGTGTAACAATTAAGCAAACCATACCGTAATTGTGCAGTCACTACCTTCAAGATGCCATAAAATAAGCTTTATCACTGGCACATGAATACAGGTTTCAAAAAGGAAGAAACGAGATACTTTGTTGTTGAAAAGTCTCGCCATTTCAGCACTGGTCAAGATATTCGTTGTTTGTCCCCTTAAAACTCTTAATTATAAGTATTGTTTTAATTTCTCCTTAGGTAATGTAGTCATTGCTTACTCGTGCTGTTGTAAGTGAACTAAAGATAAGGATCTGGCTAAAAACGACAACTGGCCATTACTTTCCTCGTGAAGTTTGTCTTCAGGAATTCATAGTAATAAAAGACGGACAAGAAAAAGTGACTTAAAGAAACGAACACACAAGAAGAGTTTTGGATGTTTTGGGTGGTGGTTCTTGAAAAGGGTTGTCAGAAACAAGATAGGTATTTGTAGAGTAGTTGCCCTTGGCTTGTGTTAGATTAAAATTTACCTTGAACAATAAGCAAAGCCGCTGCTTCAGTTGACCCTAGGATATTTGTCGCCTTACAAATATATCTGCCTCCACTGTCACCGGACGCGCGAGAGATCACTAAGACGCCGTTGTCACTGCTGTTCAACGGTTTATTTTGCTCCCTTTCCCAGACCACCGATGGAGGCGGGTTGCCCGCCCTCACTACGCATCTGAATGTTACACTCTCTCCACCTGTGACTGTCAGCTTTCTCGCTGGCATGATTTCTATTTTGGCATCACCTTTACTAACAGATGAAAGTAAAAAGAGTGATTTCAGAGTTAACTGTTAGGACAGCTAAGATTAGTTTAAGGTGGGTGATTTTTCAGCCCTGAGGCTGGTAACCATATGCATGATATCAGGGCTTATCGTACCCTCGTACACTTCATGGCTTCTCATCCGAGTGGGGCTAAAATGAGCCTGTAAAAGATTCAGTGGGGGGTAGAGGCGGTCAGGCTGCTGGGCTGATAATTAAGAATAGCACAGCTGCAAATATTAGGTCTTTTTAGGTATTTCATTCAGAACGGTGGAAAAAGGACATACCGGTATTACCCACCAGAACATCATTCTAGTCAGAAAAAACCAGAAACGTTCTCAGGCAAATGACATGCTGAGTTAAGGTAACTTCGTCATTAAAACTGGCACATTGAGCTATGACAAAGTTTTCCACACAACGTTTCCACAAAAAATATCAGCATGAAGATATCATAGCGCCTGTATTAATTACCAAGCCACATTAATTTTATTGTCCTCTAGTGGGCAATTCCATCTATTGTCCGATGCCCGCTTTTGTTATATCCAGCTCTAAGTTGGCAAAGAAACTTACAAACTTCAACAATAACCTGTATTACAACTGGTCTCACTACGAACTTACCTATCAACTGAACAGTTTCCTGGGTCTTCCCTACCATGTTTTGAGCCTGACAGGTGTAATTGCCCTCATCTTCTGGACCCACGGTCTCAATTACCAGTTTTGAGACACCGCGGCCACGTTCCCCCAGCTGAAGGCTGGAGTGAGATTTAAGCTGAGTTTCCCATTGAACATCTGGGGTGGGTTTTCCCTCTGCTACACATTCTAGAGAGACAAAGCTGCCAGCTTTAACTGATACGGGACTGGAAGGGCTCACTATTATCTTTGGCTCACCTGTGTATTAAAGAAATGTGCTTTTATTGTATTGGCGCAGAAACTTGCGCTATGGCCCATGAAAGCATAAGCCAGAAGTAGCGTTATGCACTGCTTTTCTACATTGTGTTTTTGCTTCTGTACAAGAGACACTAGCCTTTGAACGCTTAGCCAAAACAATTCATCATAACTGAGACTGAAAGTTGCTACCAAGGGCGCCTTTAATTAGATTAAATGGTTAATAGAATTGATAAGGTTGTTTGCAGTCCCCCGTTTTACAGTAAGATCGTCCTGAAGAACTGGCTTACCATGACGGGCGGTCATTGGGGTAAACGTTACGGAAGAAGGCGCGAGACCCTTTAGTGAATCTTGCCGAGCTGGTCGCTAGTTACGGTAAACGCTCTATCTTACAGACAAATAGGGTATTGTATGGTCTATAAATGAATAAATAAACAAATGCATAACTTTATTAATTTTTCATTTGAGAGGTCTAAACTCTAATGACAAAATGGTGTGCTTTTCAGAAAGCATTGACGTTATATCTTAAAATTTCCTATTTCGTGACGTACATTTTATAACGCGTTGCCAGATAATTGTACCTTGAACAATAAGAAAGGCGACTGCCTCAGTGGACCCCAGAATATTCGTCGCTCTACAGATGTACTTTCCTTGACTGACACCACTGGCAGCAGCTATCACTAACACGCCATCACTACTGCTGTTCAGCGGTTTATTTCCTTCTCGTTCCCCAGACCACAGTCGGGGTTGGATTACCCGCAATTACCGCACACGTTAGATTCACAGTATCTCCACCGCTCACTGTCAGGTTTGGTGCTGGCCTGATTTCTATTCTTGGCATATCCTTTACTGAAGATTCAAGATTTTGTTGTTATATAATTATTATTGTTACTATTATTACTCGTAACACTTTTAATTACTTAACTAGTGGCAATTGCAGATTTTAGACAGGGTTTGAGGTTAGAGTATCTTTGGTTTGAGAGTGATGGGAAATGCCACACGGAGAAAAATTCGATGATGCATTCGATGATACTTAGGTCAACAAACTGATGAGAATTCACCATCAAAGGACTTCGTGTTTTGGTTGACATTTGGGTAAAAGTGGAAAACCAAAATAATTACCATGGCGTGTGAAGTTGACATTTTAACGCTGTGTCCTATACCATTGTTTTTTCGTCCTGGCTAAATCACAACAACAAAAAGGACAAAAAAAGGACAACTGTTGGAAACGACGTAAACCGACGTAAATTTCTTGCGTTTGCTAAGGTTTTTTGAGGATTTAGTGAAGTCGTTTTATTTCCTAAAAAGGAAGCTGATTTATCATGATGTGTCTCGTAAGCAGTGGCAATTTAAGGCTCTGAGTGAAGAAATATTAAAACAAAAAACAATCGTCTTTCAGTCCCGGACACGCCTTAGCCATGAGAAGGCGATTCTTAACTTAATTCGGTTGCCGGCGGTCACAGTCTTTTCATGCACTGTTAACCGGCTAGTGATCAGAAGCGTAAAGTTCTAAAAAAGCATTTTCAAGAGCTCTTTTGATAACCTGGGCAAAATCAACTTACGCACCTGTTACATGAATTGTTTCCTTGGTTATTCCTACGATGTTCTGGGGCCTGACAAGTGTAATTACCCTGGTTCGATGAAGTGATGTTTTTACAATTAGTTTCAGCACCCCAGGGCCGCTTTCCATCAGTTGTAGATTGGAATGTCCCTGGGGTATCCACTGAACCACCGGAGGGGATCCCCACGGCTGCGCATTCTAGTGTGACCGAAGAACCAGCTGTCACGGAGATCGAATTAGAAGGGCTGACCATTATCTTGGGTTCAGCTGTGAAAGGAAAGCACAAGGGGACAGATACAGTGTGAAATTATAAACCAGTTCAGGAATCAAACGTTTTTTCCACACATCACACAGAACCTAGCTGAAAAATAACAGGAACGTGGTGCAACACAGCTAGAATAGAGTATCATGAATATCATGAATAAACTTTGCTCCTCTCTCCTCTTGGCAACGTGGCACAAACGGACAGCCTAAACCATAGACAAAAAGCAGTATATGTATCCCAATTTTATATTTGGCATCTTACATTCTCTTTGGTTTCTATGAATTTTATTTCTTTTTTTTTCACCATTCTTCATGGCCAAAAATTCAAGCTCTGTTACGCGCGTGATAATTTACAAACCAAATACAACGGCTCAAGGCTTATATTTTAAAAAGAGTGTATACATTTATTTCTGCCATAGCTTGCGCTTGGGTGGAAACATTCTACAGGTCCTAATGGCGCTTAAATGTTAAGAAAGGAGCTTATTTTTTTTTTTAATTGAATTGATGGTACCTTATTAAATTCATTAGCGAGAACGGATGTAGCACCTTTATCACTTCAGCTGTAGCTTTTTTCATTCGCCACTTGTTAAGTGGAGAATGGATATAAATATAACAATCTGTATGATACCTTGAACAGTAAGAAAGGCAATGGCTTCAGATGTCCCTAGATTATTCGTAGCTCTACAAATGTATTTTCCCTGACTGTCGCCAGTGGCAGCAGAGATCACTAAGGAGCCGTCTTTACTGCTGTTCAGTGGTTTATTCCCTTCTCGTTCCCAGATCAATGACGGTGATGGATTACCAGCTCTCACCACGCATCTTAAAATAACTGATTCTCCTGTGGCAAATTGTGAGGTTCGTGGTTGGTGTAATTTCTATTTCTGGTGGAACCTTTTAAGGAGTGGAAGAAAAGCAAAGGTCAACCTTGCTTATGGAAAATTACAAGGAGAGTTTTTGAATCACTGCATCACGCATTACTTGATCTCTAGGAATTGCTTTTGCATGAAATAGTCTACACAAGCGTCATGAGATCTGCTGAAACAACTTTGGATACATGCAACGCAAATATCAGTTACACTGATACATGTGGTTCAACCTATCCTTGTTTTTCTGTTTAAAATTTTTTCAATGTCATTCCTACACACTTCGAAAAGGAAAGCAAACCAGTTTAATTTTAAACCACGGTGGGATAGGGAAGTTTACCGTGCATTGACAAAATTTAAAGCAAAAAGACCAAAAGCAAATGTTACCGGAATTACACCACTTTATTTCCTGAGGAAAAGAGAATGAAAATCGAAGCGCACTGCATTATAAAGACGTATAACACACCCGTTTAGCCGTATTAGAATACAGACGTCAAAAAAATAATACGGGTATGTGCCGCCCAAAGGGGTCGTGATTTTGAAGCTTTGATTTAGAACGGGGTATCCATTTCAGAAGCGTTTTCTAGAACGGGGTATAATATTTCGAACGCACGAAAGCTCCACTTTTGTAAGCAGTCATTTGAAAGTATTCAAGGACAGATTGCTTTTAAAAATATGGTTCAATGCGTTAACAAGCAAAACCGTTGTACTTTTTGTTGCACCCTACTATGAACGGAGTATAAAAATTGGCCCATTTCTAGAACGGGGGTATCAATTTTAGGGAAATTTTTTCTAGAACGGGGTGCCAATTTGGAGTCACGGGCGGCACATACCCCCCCAAAATACCTAAGTGCCCCGGGCCGCACACATACCCCCCAAAAAAAACAACAATAATAATAACAAATTAAATAACGTTGTTTTGGCACCAAGTTATTTTTACTTAATTTGTCAACAGAGTGGAAGAATTGAAACATACTCATACTGACACCCGACATACTCACCTATCAACTGAATCGTTTCAGAGTTTTTCCTACAATGTTTTGAGCATGACAAGTGTAATTTCCTGATGTTCCGCAGTCACTTTTCTAATAACAAGTTTCAACATTCCGGGACCGTTCACCATCAGTTGAAAATTGATTGGGAATTTGCCTGAGTTTTCCATTGAACCTCCGGAGGGGGATTCCCACGACTGCGCATTCTAGAGTGACCGACCCCCAGTTGTCACGAAATGGAGTTGGGCGGGCTCAGCATTATCTTGGGTTCAGCTGTGTGATGAATAAAAGTAAATTAAAACAAATTCAAAAGGTTTATAAGGGCTAAATGATTGCACACATCTTCCTTAATGTTAATGCAGGATCTGATTTTCTGCGGCTAGACAAACATTAGGTAACTC